ATATTTTTTAACTTCTTCTCAATTCTTGCCCAAATATTTAAATTATACTGATCATTATAAAAATCAATCCAAAATAAGCAAATAAATTATACCATACTCTATCATAATAATAAAAATAAAAGATAAATAAAATTCAATTTATTATAATTTACAAATAAAAAATTGCATAATCATCCAAAAATGAGTAAGAGAGAATGTTGGAGAAAAGGAAAAGAGAAGAAAGTGACTTTTATTTTAAAAATTTTTGTAGGTCCATTTATTTGATATGTAAATTATGTATCAAGTGAAAGTTAATATAATCTTTTTACAATTAGTAGGGGAGATAAGTGATATTTTAAAACTTTAGGGGTACCAAATGATATTAGAAGAAACCTCAGAGGAGGTTTCTGATATTATCCCTTTCTTATTTCGGTTCTTAAACTTTTTGTTCTGTCAAAGGTTTTTTACTCAATTGATGAAAAAATATACAATGTTTAGTCACTCAACTTATGTACAATTTTGATCATTCAATTAATAAAACATACACTTTTTGCTCCAAAAATGTAAGCATCAATTAGTTGAATTATCATTTTGATAAAATAAAATGGTTCACTGACCAAAAAACAAAGAATTATGAATATTTTAGTGATTATTTATTCCTGTCAGTCAACTAAATCATGTATGTAGGTTGTTGTTACACAACCATTTCTTTAAAAAAAAAAAAAGGATATATTAAGTTGGTTGTTGAAATTCGTCGAGCACCAACTATTTTATAAAGGTCAGAGAAAAATTTCAAAGAGATTCAAATAGATCGGATGATTTAGCCAAATTATGCGCAACCTTATTTGCTTCTCTAGACATGTAGGCTTCGTCGACCAGTATAGTGAGAGCTTATGTCTCTTCCGAGCTACTAATGAGCTTTATAACTGCGGCTGCATCTTCTTCCAAAATTGCAAGCGATACCACTGCTTCCCTTGCAGCAAGAACTCCTGCCAATTCCGCACTAGTTAGGGTGTGTTTGGATTGCATTTCTCGTTATTTTTCATGAAAAAATTACTGTAGCGATTTGATATATGTGAGGAAAAAGGTGATAGAAAAATGTGATCACGAAAAAACGATAATATCCAAACACGCCGATTAGACCATCACCCACTTTCTTAGATAAGCCAGAAATAAATTGACCATAGTAAGTGCAAATGCCAATGACTTGTTCAATTGTTGATACAGAAGCATCGATCAAAGCTAATTATACTCGAACAATCCTCTTTTCTGCACTTTGATTTTTTTGAACATGCAGCGGACACATCAATATACTATTAATATCAGACCCATCTCATATTTAATTTTCATCTCAAAGTCTGTAAATTACACAATTGGAGATTGCAATGACAAATTCTTACCTTTCTACCAGCGAGGAAAAAAAAAAAACAATTGGCGTGAGTATCCAAAATTAGGCATTAAGGAGCATCATTTCAGATTTATTTTCCTGGTCAATTACATCAAGAAAAACAGGGTCAACAGTCACGTGACTGTCCACGTGAGCCTTAAACCTATGGTCCCACCACAGAACCTTAGCATCTCCTTCGATATCCACAGCTGCATTCAGCACCATCTCCCGGCGCGCCACGTCAGCCAAGAACTCCTTGGCATGATGAGCCAGCTCCAGCCCGCTGAGCCGCGCCGGAAGGTGGAGGAACTGGCAGGATCTCGGCGGCTGGGAACCGCTTCCACCACCGCTGACCCGAGGAGGCAGCCGGCGTAGTAGATGGACATGTTCGCGGAGGAGTATCGGACGGTCGCGACGTTTGGGTTGCTCACGTGGACGGTCAGGATCATCTCTGCGTCCAAAACAGGGAAGTTGAGCTTTAAGGAAGTTAGGTTGATTGAGATTAGGTGGAAAGTGGGTCACGCGGCTTTGAGGAGAGTATTGCTGACGCGGCTGTGGCGGTTGCTGCGCCTACTAAAGCGGAGGTCCAGCTCCATTTGGCCTTTTTGCCCATGGGTTTTTGAGAAGGATACGGAAGAGATGAGAGGTTCACGGCGATTTGTCCACGCAGAAGGAGCTGATGAACGAGGACGACGACTATTGGGGGACTTTTTGTCTTTGGAGTTGGACCTTCCTGACGATATTGCCCTTGATTAAGTTGCTTTGCTGGCTTTGGCCACCAGGGCAGTGAAGGGTAGCTTAGAAATTTTATATGCTTGGAAAAAGTTCCAACATTTGGTGTCCAAGCGGTCGGGGAAATCGTTCAAACATCCATCAAATTTCAAATTCTTTTCTTTTTTACTTTTCAAATAGTAAGATTAAATGGTAAATTTTGATCCTAATCTAAAGTTGTGTTTGGATTGCATTTTCCGTCATTTTTCATGAAAAAAATTACTGTAACGATTTGATATATGTGAGAAAAAAAGGTGATAGGGAAATGTGATCACGAAAAACGATAATATTTTTCGATGGAAACCAACAATCCAAACAAGGCCTAAGTTTTTGAATACTTTTCATTCTGAATTCATCACGTGATGGATACATAATCATTCTTTTAAGGACAAAAAGATTAGATCCTATTCAAAAAAAACAAATGATTCGATCTATAATCTTTTTTGTTCCTAAAAAGTAATATTTGATTCAAACTATATTCATTTAGGATTTGACCTATTTTGTATTCATTTTACCACTAAAAAATTGGGATCTAACTATTTTGTACATAAAAAATAATTGCATGTAGGTTACATGATGATTTCAAATTAAAAAATGGCCAGAAACTAAGGTTGAGATCAAATTTTGCTAATTAATTTAAATTTATAAATGACGTAAAATTAATATTTTTAAAAGTGAATGATGAAAAAATTCATTTGACAAATGTAAGGAACGTTTTAAAATGATTTTCCTAAAGGGTTAATCATGAAAATTGCCTCGAGGTACGTTCAGAATTTGCAATTTACCTCTTAAATTTTTTTTTTTATCACCTAATCCCATAAGAGACAAAACTACTCCAAGAATATATAGATTTCGAATGTGTTCCTAGATTTGGCGTATGTATACAATGTATGTATTGTGGATCAGATTAAGTCCATTTGTATTGAAGATTATTTGAAAAAATCATGTAGATTAATAGTGCATTATTTTTTATAATGTAATATATATGAAACAAAAAAATAATTGAATAAAATAGTGATTAAAAAATGTGTTTCAAGAAAATATTCTAAGTTACAAGGACAGAACTTGGTTTTAAGTGGGTTTTCTTTTTGACAAGGACCACATTTTCCCTTTCAATCATTTTGAGAATATTTTCAAAATTTTTAAAGATACATTTATGCCACTAAGAGACAATTGCCATTTCGGTATCTCTTAGGAATAAACTCCAGGAGATGGGATGGTAATTCTATACCTTAAATTTGAGCAAACTTATCCAAATAAATTCAGGTAGTGGAGGTACTTCAATATATTGGCATGTGATGATTGCAATGCAACCTCAACATCACAAATCCAGGTTTATTGCCAAAATAACTTTTCTTTAAACTTTTGTTTCAAAACATATGTCCAAAGTAACTTATTTTTAAAATTTATTATCTTTATGATTTTTTTTGACACATAAGCTCTATGTGTGGTAGGATGAAGATAGAGACATGCTCCGTTCTCTTTTCCATCTAATATTTTCCCTAATTTCCTCTCTGAACCTTGCTGCATTTTTTCTTTTCATTATCTAACAAATGATTTCTAGCACCATATGTTTGATAAAATGTCTATGAAGAAAACTACATAACAATATAAATTCATATCTAGGATGCCTTTTGCTTTTTATACTTGTTGATTACTTATATAATAATTTGGTAGTTTTCAATTTGCAATTCAAAATTTGAAATTTTCATCTTGATTACTTTTTGCAAAATTTTTTTCCAAGAAATAGGAAGGATAACATAAACAAATATGATTGCCTTGAAGTTTTTCTAACTTTTTCTTGTTATTGCTTAATTTTCATTGCAATTTTCGTTGTAGTTTTTGTATTTTTAAATTTATTTTTGAAAAAAATATATGTAATAGGTTTGATACATTTAAAAAAAAAAGTAGAGACCAATAAAAGCAAGGTCAATCATTTTAGAATTTATTTTAAATAATTATAAGGAAATTATCAAAGTTATGCAATTTTCTTGTGCCTCAATAATAAAAAAAAATTTTAAATTTTAATTCATGTTGGAAACTATAGATTAGATTAAATCTTTCCTTTATTATTATTCTACATGGCAATAAGGAAAACTAGATGGCAACAATAACACCATTATGGAAATAAAATTTGAAAGTGAATTACATTGAAAATATTTTTTGAGGCCATGATTTTGGGCATGTTCAAGAACTCTTCTTTTCTTTTAACGGCCATGATTTTGCATGGTCTTGTGTTTCTAGATGCAATTCGAAAAAACATACGACTTGTCTAAGACCTAACCCAAATCTCGAAATTTTCGGCCTGCAGGAGTCTCATTGAGCATCACAAGTAAACCTGATTTATCTATCTGTATCCACAAGAAATTTAAGGGGTATGGAGGGTTCTCAAAACGGCCCTGGGTTTTCATTTTGTAATTTTCTGAACAAGTTATGTGTTTCTCCCAGCACCATCAACCTCAATATCCGATGCCATTAATGTGTTCGTGAGCAAAGGACTCAACTCCACGGATATGGTTCTACTTCTTGGTGTTTCACTTTACTTGTCTGCAACCTTTTGTTTTTTTATTTTCATTGTTTTTGGATAAGAGTACAAGATTACAACCAAAACCCAGGATTATATCTCTGCAATCTTTAATCTGATTGAGGAATCTTTCAAGAAGAAGCACACTTAGATTTGCTTCAATTATAACATAATCGTGTTATTATATTTCATACTTCATGCAATTGTACTCACAAGTGTCATCTATGAACTTTTGTTGAATTTTGAAGGTGGTCATACAGTTGGAAATGCTTATTGTTTTGTTCCCTCATTCAAGATCGCCTCTACAACTTCCAAAACACAGGGAAACCAGACCCGTCAATGGATTCCAATCCAGTGAGCAAACCGAGAAAAAGGTGTCCTAAGAAATCTGGATTCGATCAAACTGTTAACATCGACCAAAAGCCTCCTAGTGCTAATACTGTTGATGATCCTCACTATAAACAAATAGCTTTGCATAGAGGGGTTCTTCAACTTGATCAAGAGCTGGCATTGGAGCTAATGACAAAGGACACTGTGACCGCTACATAGCCCACCGCCCATGGTTGGGACTTATCTAGTAGATTTGGCCAAGCGATAGTTAAAATGGGTGCTGTCGATGTTCTAACTGGAAACCAAGGAGAGATTACAACATGCATCATGCCAGGCTGTGAACAAAAATCCAAGAAGTTTTGATCATAATTCAAGATAGAGCTTCAATTGGGATTTGTTTTTTCAAAAGAATACCTTGTGAAGTATTAATTGTTTGTGTAACGTGGAAATTAATTCATATATTAAGATAAGATTTGTGTCCCTCAAACTCAATTATGAAGTCAATTTTACATTTTTCTCACTTGCATGATAATGCCAACATGTAGATTTCTGGAAGGCAAAGCCATATGTGCAGACAATCCAAGGTTTTTAACTTTATTATAGAACTAATTTATTCTTTCCCATAGACCCAACTTAACTTTCATGGAGATTAATCAAATGGTTATGAAGACTTTGGCTCTCCTTTATTCTTTCCCTGTTGTAAGGGTTAGAGTCTCCCATTTGAAAAAGAAAAAAAAAAAGAAAAACCCTTAGATTTAGCAATTGATTCCATCCTATAAATAGTCCTACTTACGTGCATGCATTGCTCTCGAGTTCACTAGCATCATTAATATCAATTGCGACTAATTGACATGCATACAGAACTTTAAGCGGTAAAAGTTCCAAACATATCGTAAAAACTCGTCGTGCACAGTTAGAATGATTAAAATAAATTGAGAAAAAAATATTGAGTAAATTTTATATACACGGACAGTGTATACACTATCACCATTGGGCTCACGACACGTGTAAAAATTGGATTTCAAATGCTGATGATGTATACACTGTCAGTGTTGAAAAGATTAATCCAAATATATTAGGTTGGTTGTTGACTTTCTGCCTATGATTTAAAAGGGTTGTGATGCATCGATTCTACTCGATGGAAGCAACAGTGAGAAAACTGCAATACCAAATTTAAGTGTTAGGGGATATGATCTTATTGATGCGGCAAAGGCAGCTGTTGAGGGCATTTGCCCCGGTGTGGTCTCCTGTGCTGATATCATTTCAATGGCTGCTAGGGATGCGGTTTCCATGGTAAGAGCAACCAGTGAATAATCAACTGTTCGTTGCTTTATATATATACTAGGTATTCTGCCCTGACGCTATGCGTCAGGTAGGTAGGACTTGGTAATAGAAAAACAAGGGAAGGAAAAAACACTGGCTAGAGAAAAGCTAAGAAGAAGAATGAGGAACGGGAAAAACACACCGGGTAAAGAAGGCGAAGAAAAGAAAAAGTAACAGCTCCCAAAACTCTGAAGCGGTGCGCACTGGATTCAGCACAGAACCAAGAACAGAATGAGAGGAAATTGCTGACCACCAAAATGTTCCCATCTAAGAGGCCCACGCGGACAGAAGTGAATTTCCATCAAAACATTGCCGTCCAATGCCAAAAGACCAAAACACCCCTCAAGTTCACAAAAATCACAGTATAACCGGCCCAAAACACAGCTTGATCAGAAGATCAATCAGGTGAGAAAGTAAAGACATCACCCTGCAAAACCAGAGACTGCTGCGGACACTATCCACCGCCTACTCACCATTGCAGCCAAAGCAACTACATTTCTGAAGCTACCAACGAAAACTAAAAAGAAGAAGAAAGCTAAAGAGAAGAAAGGTTCCAGCAAAGCCAACTAAACAGTGAATCACTTCAAAAGCAAAAGAAAATTTTTCAAGTCATTTCTGAAGCTGCCAAAGAAAACTAAGAAGAAGGAGATAGCTAAAAGAGAAGAAAGAAAACTACTGACCGCCCACCGCCCACTAACCAGTAGAAATTATTAACTTCCAAAAGACAAGCAGAACCGGAGCCCGCATGGCAAGAGACCAAGCCTTGTCTGCATCAACGTGTCGCCAAGCTGCCCCGATATCATGCAACCAAAGAAATCATGCAACCAACAAACACCCCAGAGTTCATGAAAATTACGGAGTAACCGAGCCATTTGCACAAGCGGACAGAAGTGAAATGCCAGCAGAGCCACTGCCACCCATCAACAAAAGACCAAAACGCCCCTCAAGCTCACGCTGTTCACAAACGATTCGTGCTTTATATACGTAAGATATACATATATACTAGTTTTGGGGTGACACGCCAATGCGTGGCACTGCCCAGGTTTGTGTTTAATATGTATATATAATTTTGGTGTTATTTATGAGAAGAGTGTTGTATGGTAATACTGATGCAATGGCGTGACAGGATTTAGTTATTATGGGCAACACATACAAAAGAAAAAATAAAAAACTAATAAATAGAAGAGAACCAGAAAGAAAGAAGAGAAGAAAGCTCCCTATAGCTTAACCGAAAGCGAAAAACAACAGAGTTAAAACTGACATCACAGTCACCCAGCGAACTCGGATCAATCCAGCATTTGCTCAACAATGACCAAACGTACCATGCAGCAGCCAGCTGGACAATGACTCAACGCACCATATACACAATATAGCGCCACGCAATCACCGACAACAGCACCCACTCACATGCACCCGATTCAATAAGCCCCACTAAGAGGCAATGGCTAGGTTTAAGCTTAGCATGTATAATTTTAGGGTTCTGTTTATAATGCAATGCATGTAATGGTATCCATATGGAAATTCATGTGCATGTGGTGCGAACATTTTGTCTATAATAATGATATACGTGTTATTGAATCTGGAGTAAATATACTTACAGGGGAGATAATTAATTGTATTAGGTTTGTCATGCCTAAATGGTTTTTTGTTGATAATTTGGAAAGGATTATTTTGTTTATTTTTTATTGTTCCTTTGATATGTTATAATTTCTTTTATGAGTTATCCTAATTTTTAGGCTCATATAATAACTTAGGTAGTAACTAAGTTAGTATAGTTAAATTCTGATTTTTTAACAATCAATTGAATTCTAATTATCATCTACTATTAGCTAGTCAATAGTTTTAGTATAGTTAAATTAGTTAAATTTTTCATTTTGAATTCAAAATTTGATTTTATTATAGTTCAATTAGTTAGCTAGTCATCAGTTTTAGTATAGTTACATTAGTTAAATTCTAATTAAATTCTAATTAGCTAGTCAACACTCAATTAAATTCTAATTATCATCTACTATTAGCTAGTCAATAGTTTTAGTTTAGCATAGTTAATTTAGTTAAAATTTTCATTTTGAATTGAAATTTTGATTTTATTATAGTTAAATTAGTTAGCTAGTCAATAGTTAAAGTATAGTTAAATTAGTTAAATTTTTCATTTTGAATTGAAATTTTGATTTTTTTAACACTCTAATTGTAATTAGGAATGATTAGTTCCTTGAATTGGCCAATATTACACCAATAACCGCGTCTAATGTGGCTAATATTACACCTATTTGATTTTATATCATATATTTCTAATTGTAATTAGGAAAATTTTGATTTTATTATAGTTAAATTAGTTAGCTAGTCAATAGTTTAAGTATAGTTAAATTAGTTAAAATTTTCATTTTGAATTGAAATTTTGATTTTTTTTAACACTATTCTTGTAATTAGGAACGATTAGTTCCTTGAATTGGCCAATATTACACCAATAACCGGTCTAGTGTGGCTAATATTACACCTATTTGATTTTATATCACATATTTCTAATTGTAATTAGGAACGATTAGTTCCTTGAATTGGCCAATATTACACCAATAACCGGTCTAATGTGGCTCCATTCAATCAGCCAATCACCAACAAATGAAGAATAGTTATTGGCTCCATTCAATTACCAACAAATGAACAATAGTTATTGGTACCACCGTAACCAAAGGGCCCTCAAATTGGTGTAATTTACTGCAATAACCCACTAAGACACCCTAACCAAAGGCCCTCAAATTGATGAAAAAAGCAAATTATACAATAGTAAAAAATTCAATTTTAGAACGACGCCTAGCTAGCCAATTTGCATGGACAAAGATATCAGAAAAGAATCATATGCAACAGCCATTAAAGAAAAAATCGATTGCACGGAAGAATTTGGGAAGATTCTCTCAATGATAAAAACAACATAATCACTAATATGAAAAAAAAAAAAAACCTATCCCCATGCATGTAACAGATATAGAAGAAAAAATAGCAGACTAACATGCAACAATATATAAAGGTTGTGTATAAGACAAACCAATATCAAATAAATCGAAAACAAAGGAAAGCGCATCAAGGTTCATGCAATAGCAAGTTTACAACAAATTAAGATTTATCAAAGGCCGCAATACTAAGTCTGCAAAAATCTGTCCATTATCAAAAAAGATACTGGCTGATATGGTAAAAAGCAAAAAATAATCCCCATGCATGCAAAAATAATATGCAGAAGTAGAAGAGAACTTAAAAGAAAGAAGAAAAGAAAACTCCGTACAACCTAAGCGAAAACAAAAAACAACAAAATTAAAACTGACACCACACTAACACAGGTAACTCGCATCAATCCAGCATTTGAGAAAGAAGAGCAGAATACAAATAAGCCAAAGTCATCTGAGAAAAAGAAGAAATATACAAATGACCCAGAGTCTGAGCAGAGACCAACCAGAGCAAAAGGAAACAACAAAAGCAACTCTGAGTAGGGAAAAACAGAGCAAGAAGAAAGCAGAACAAAACAAAACAACAAAAGCGACTGCAATTTTAGATAGAGCTCAGAGACCAACCAGAGCAAAAGGGAAGAACAAAAACAACTCTGAGCAGGAAATAGAGCACCAACAAAGCAGAACAAAAGGAAACAATAAAAACGACTGGAATTTTAGATAGATTTTAGATAGATATATACAAGCCAACGTCCACTACGTCCATTTAGATGGATGCAAGCCAACATCCACTACGTCGAGCCAGCTCAACAATGACCGAACGCAGCATATGCAATGTAGCGCCACGGAAGCACCAATAGCAGGACCCACTAAGAAGACTAAGAGCACAATGCACTAACAGCACTAAGCGCACCGACCGCAGAATAGTCACTGGCCCACCGTAGCAAAGGGCCCTAAAATTGCTGTAAATTACTGCAAGACCGTAACCAAAGAGCCCTCAGAGCACAACCCACCAAGACAGCCTAACCAAAGGCCCCTCAAATTGGTGTAAATTACCGCAATAACCGGACCACAATTGCTACAGTACCTTGAGCTTGGTACTTTTATATCTTGTAAGATATATATACGTAAGATATATATATATATATATATATATATAAATAGAAGGCATAATTTCATTGCCACTAATGGTAGAAAATACATTACTATGCCGCAGAAACTGAAAATCATAAAATACAATAGATCTGAAAAAAAAAAAATCATAAAAATAAAATTCTAAATACATTCTGAATTTGCTGTTCTTGGCAATCAGATTGTGAGTAACTGAACTTATTGTGTCTTTTGAATTTAGACCCTAGATAATGCCTTCCCTTCATTTGTTTATATCCATCTCATTACACTTGAGAAGAATTATTAACATGCCATTAGCTTTATTAGAAGAAATTGTCATTTTACTATAAAATCAATTCATTTGAGAAATTAATGGTAAACCGGCTTCCTTTCATTTCAATTTTTTACATGTCACTAACATCAACCACGAAATTGATTGTGAATGGTTCGATTAAACTATAAAAACATTTTTGAAATCTTATATTTCATAAAGAAACTAAAAACAGTCTTATAATCTGATATTTCATGGTAAGTACTCACGCCTTATATATTATTCTAATGGCAAAATCCTTTTTTTTTTTTAATTTAATGCAAATAGACTTAAAGTTATTCATTATTGGGAAAAAAAATCTTATTTTCCTAGGTGACTATAACTAATCTTAATTCTTGATTGAACCAAGGTGGGCACACCGTGGGAGTTGCTCATTGTTCCCTCTTCCAAGATCGCCTCTACAACTTCCAAAACAGTGGCCAACCAGACAATACCATGAGCCCTTTGCTGCGATCTTTCCTGAGAATCAGGTGACCTCAAAATGCTACAGTTGATAACACAGTCAATCTGGATCAGAACCCTTTGAGCTCTTTAATAGTTGACAACTCCTATTACAAGCAAACAAAATTGAACAGAGGAATTCTGCAAATTGATCAACAACTGGACCTGGAGACGAAGGACATTGTAACTGCAATAGCAACCAGGTTCGATTTCTCCACAAAGTTTGGTCAAGCCATGGTTAAAATGGGTGCTGTTGAAGTCCAAACAGGAAACCAGGGGGAGATTAGGGGTTCTTGCAGGGCAGTTAACAAAAAGGGCAAGGGACAATGACACCAATGGTAATCAAGAAAAAGGAATTAATAATGACGAAAATGGTAACACAGGAAGAAAATGGAGCAGTAAAGAGAATACAAAGCACTAGGAATAGAAACTATTGGTCAAGAACTGATTATCATTAAATGTGAATTTACTTGAACTACATATTAATCTTCATCTCACTATTTGTATGTTGTTAATCATTTGCAGTCCGTAGGGAGTTACAGTTCTTAGGTATCCATCCCACCAATGTGAATTACTTGTGTAATCATAAAATGGAAAAAGAAACAAAGTACTTTTGTCACTATGCTATTCTTTGTTGCCAAATTCATCCTTCACATCTAGAAGGTTAAAAAGAAAGAAAAATGGCATCGTTATTCTAGAAACAAAATAAAAAATTGAAAAATGATACTTAACTTTTCGCTAAGACCACTTCATTCTAATATTTTTACAATATACACAAAGGAGATAGAGTGCCATTAACAACAAGTAAAATCCTATACTAAGCGATATACGATTTAAACGAAAGAAACAAACTAATGGATAATCCACCTCTTTAATTTTATAAATTTTATATTTGTGTCTATTGTTTGATAATGTCGCACTTTTTATAAGTGAATTCAACAACAATACAAGATTAATAATGTTGTTGTTACGCACTTTATTATGGCACATCACGTGTCAATAATAGGTCGACACAATATGTACAAAGGATCGAGATAGAGTATCATTACCAACTAGTAAAATCCTATACTAAACAGTCTACGATTTAAGGAAAAGAAACAAACTAATAGATTACCCACCTTCTTAATTTTATGAATTTTTATATTTGTGTCTATTGTTTGATGATGCCGCGCTTTTTGTGAGTGAATTCAACAACAAATAGAAGAGTATCACTAACAATGCTGTTGTTACGTACTTTATAATAGCACATTACAAGTCAATAACAGTTCCACAAATTCTACATCATCTATTTTTTTTTCGGATAAACCATCATGATTTCATTAAATTGTGTTCTAACGGCAGAGGTTATATCATCAAACATACATAGATACTAAAAATCTGAAGATTTGACACTTCAAATTTAATGAATTGAAAAAATTATATGGTAAAAAGCTCCAAAAAAACTCAAACAAAAAAGATAACATACTTTTAGTCCCAAGAATCTCCATACGTCGATCATCTGATTTGTTGATTAATTGTTTCAAATCCAAATATTATGGTAAGATCTATCTAATAGATCTAAAAATTTCCAAATTTGACAACCAAATTTGAAAAAACTCAAATCTAATAAAAAAAATTAAAAAAATTACATAAAAATCCCACTAGTGAGTGAGTTTTCTTTCCAGATTATCTGATGAAAACTACTTGAATAATAGGTCCACAGATTCCGCAATAATACCATATCAACGTTAAGATTGCCTTGGTGCTTATTTTTGCAAGCCTTGCTACATCATCTTCGTATGCCAGCCAGCCGGCTAATTCCTTAAAATATACGTATAAAAAAAAATTATCCGTCAAATGCACGTCTGACTGAGGGGCTTTCTTATTCTATACGGGCCGTGCTGAGTCAGCACGGCCGAATCACAAAAAAATCTATCCGGTCAACATCTAGTTTGGGCTGAGCATTTGTGTCAGCGGACGTGCCCAGTCAGCACGTCCGCTGACACAAAGGTCTCTCGGATAACATTTAAAAAAAAAAAAGTTTTAGGCTTTAGGATTTTTAGAGTTAGGGTACTTTAATTTGGTACTTTAAAATTTGGTACTTTAATTTTCAAATTAACCTGATTAAACTAAATTTTAACCGTAATCCTAAATATACTTCATTTCATTAATATTTAAAATAAATACATTAACCTAACCTCATGATTCATGTCCCTAGATGCCTTTTCCACATGTATTATTATTAAATCATTATTAAATGCATAATAGTTGTTAATTAACGAACGATTCATGTATTCTAATAAACAGGAATTAATTATTATAATCACTTTGTGATTGTGATTGGCATACATAATAATACAACCAATTCGGATAATTATTTTTTCGAGACAACGTTTTTGCATCTATATTTTTATTATATTTTAACTACATTTTTAACTATATTTTGAATAATTATTTTAACTATATTTTTACCTTGCACGCAACATATATGATATCTTACAAAAGTCCTACTACGTACATGAATTATTCATCTACATCAATATCAATCCAAAAATTTTTTTATTAATATTTGCAAATTACTTCATTTTTTTATGCAATCCAAAAATTTCTTATGTTTAGTTAATTAATATATTTTATGCATGTAAAAAGCAATAATTTTAATTAGTTATTTCTAGTATTTCTATATGAATTATATTACATAGTAATTCGCCAAAAATTATACGATTAAACAATAAGTCGTAGTCGACAACACTATATCACTATATACACTAGTTAACTCTTTTTTAACACTTCAATATTGTAAAATTATAAATAAATTATCACACTTTACATTAACTATTAATTAATAAACTATAACAACAACACACAATGCAGAAAACAAGTTTAATTAATGTCATTTGATGACAGTATAATATAACATGTAAATACATAAATAATTAACATAATATAAATAATTAACATAATTATTTAACATGTTTAATTAACATAATATAAATAACTAACATAATTACTTAACATGTTTAATTAACATAATATAAATAATGTAATTAATAAATGCTGTAATAATAATTTAAATTACTAACCTGTATGAATCCGAAGCCAACTGAAGGAACGAATGCAAGCAGAGGAGGAGCTGCTATGATATACATGAGACAAAGAAAGCGAGAGATTGAGGGACGTGCTGACAGGTTTGTGTCAGGTGCGGACGTGCCCAGTCAGCACATCCGCTGACACAAATGCTCAGCCCAAATTGGATGTTGACCGGGTAGATTTTTTTGTGATCCGGCCGTGCTGGCACATCCGCTGACACAAATGCTCAGCCCAAATTGGATGTTGACCGGTAGATTTTTTTGTGATCCGGCCGTGCTGAGTCAGCACGGCCTGTATAGAATAAGAAAGTCCCTCCGTCAGACGTGCATTTGACGGATAATTTTTTTTTATACGTATATTTTAAGGAATTAGCCCAGCCACCCTTGTCCATTTTTTTTTTCAAAGGAGCCCTCTCGTCCAGTACTTTGTTGCATGCCAACACTTACGTTGAAATTTTTTTTTTAATGTAAATAGGAGAACTCGAATTTAAAATCTTTCATTCACACTCCCTTACTCTCGAACCACCTAATCTAACCCTCCCCTTAGGCCGAATTTTATAGCAAGGAGAAAACGGTAAAGGCAAATCTTTGTTAAATGTTCGGTTTAATGATTTATTACACATAACCTTCTTTAGCTGGCTTAATTCCTACAGTCCTTCCAACTTCAAGGGTACGGGATCGGTACACAGAGAACCGTGAATCTCCACGATCATCATTCTTCAGCAAAGATAATTAAGTCCCAATAAATCATTAAACAAAACCAATTTCTCCAGATTGATGACTTCCGGGAAAACCTGTCCCAGAAACAAATGATTCCTCAACTTCGTCGACTAGAATTACTTATAACATATTAGCATGGGTTAATGCTCCCTAATCCCGTGTACTTTCGTGCAACTAACCATCTTGTTGTCTGTTTACGTGAATGCACGTTCCATACATTATACTAATCAATTGATTCTTTCTTGACTTCATAGAAATGGTTGTGCCAGGCATGCATTCCAACCTACCTACATTTCCTCCACTCACTCTTTAAATAGATGGCATATCTCTGCATCCAAATTCGCAAAGGGAAAAAAAAAACAGGAATTACCAAAAAAGAAAAACTAAGAGCTGAAAAAAAAATGTCGAAAGTTGCCACTGTAGCATTGGCCCTCGGTTCGTTTTGTGGCATTCTCCGGCCAATGCTACGGGGCTTCACCACCACTTAAGGTTGGTTTCTACCAAGGAAAATGCAATGGTACGGTTGATGTTGAGGTGATTGTTGGTGGAGTTGTCAAAACATGGTTCTCTAGCGATTCTACAATTACTCCTGCTCTACTAAGGATGCAATTCCATGATTGTTTTGTAACTGTACGAAGTTTCTTCTTCTTTATTTACATTTTTTATCTTTTGGTAAATTTCTCATTAATTATGCTGGCAATTTAGAAAACATTGTGTTGATTGCTGACGTTCTGACTTTGTTTACAAGGGTTGTGATGCATCTCTTCTTCTGGATGGAAGCAACAGTGAGAAAACTGCAGTACCAAATTTAAGTGTTAGGGGATATGGTCTTATTGATGCGGCAAAGGCAGCTGTTGAGGCAATCTGCCCGGGTGTGGTCTCCTGTGCTGATATCATTTCAATGGCTACCAGAGATGCTGTATCCCTGGTAAATAGATATACGTACCCTCTCTCTTTAATTTTTCTATTTCTGAAAAGTTACATACCATGCATAATTCTCAATTAGACAAAACTAGAAAAGATTAACTAGAACCTTTTACCCTCTGTGATTTGATACTTTACCACGTAACATGACCTGGTTTAGCATGAAATCATCTCTCACCAAGCTCAACATAGGCAATATTGATCACTCAATTCAAAATTCCTGTAAATGCAGAGTGGAGGAGGGCGATACATTGTGCACACTGGAAGGAGAGACGGGACAGTTTCGCTTGCAAAGAATGTGAATCTCCCAGCTCCTTCAATATCAGTCTCAAATTCCATCAATGCATTCTCCAAGAAAGGGCTTAGCGTAGTGGACATGGTTTATCTTCTTGGTAATTACTTCACATTTCAAACTGCATGCGAATTCTACTCCACATATATTGGACATGCAAATTATGAAAACTTCTACTACTACTAATTAGTAACAAGACCTTCTTTACTAACATATATAGTAGCAATTTGACACTATCCCTTAAAAAAATGCACAAGCTGCTTATGAGTGTAAATTTATCCCCAAAAAATTTGTATATGGGCTCGAGCAACAAATCTAAAAGTTGA